CCCCAAAACCCCAAAACCCCAAAACCCCAAAACCCCTTGTTCGTTATAATAATAGAATCTTAATAAAATGTCAAAGTTTTTTGAAAGGGTTTTTGTCTGTTGCTCTTCGAGGGAGACGAAGATGGAGGCGAGTCCGGCTTCGAAGATGAGGTTGAGTAAGCATGAGGATTATACTAAGACAATACCTACTAAAAGTAAGAGGATAGAGATAGCAGTCAATCAGATCGTAGCTGAGTACTTTACAACGAAGAGAAAGACTGAAGAGATTGATGACGATCCTGATAGAGATTTTGCAAAGGAATCTGATACTATGAGGAGGCTACTTGGGCCTCGTCAGAGAGCAGCCTCAGAAGCTATACAAGCTAAACTCTAGAAGGGAGGTATAGTAAATATAAATGAGCTGACTCCTACTATTTGGTAGACAGTGAATGGTGCAATAGTTGGAAATAAGTTTTTAAGAGACGAAATCAGTTATATTCCTTCAGCTTATGTCTCTGACGATGAGCTTTATGAAAGATTAAATGAAGGAGAAATCCTTCAACACCGGACCGATTTCTATCTCATCGCAAACAACTCTGATTGGGATTTATTCATGGAAGACTTTCAGTGAGGAATAGCTTTAAAATTCAAACCGGATTCTAACAATCAAATTGATCCCAAAGAAGTTGAGAAGTTACGAAAGAAGTATGCAGAAGGGAATATACAAAAAGAACAAACGGAGACAAACTCTAATGCTATCAACGGAAGAGAATCACTCCTAATCCAAAGGAACCAAAGATACTTGCAAAGGAAGAATAAGTCCAAAAATCAAGGAGATACAGCTCAAAGAAAAGATAAAAGGTCTTTGAAAGAGAAGACAAGGAAGCACAATGGCAATGGTGCTTCAGGCTATTTTGATGAAGAAGACACATATAATAAATCTACTTCAAATCCTGATTATTTGATAGGAGGAGAACAATCTAAGCAAAGAGGTGAAGGCGCTTCCTCTGAAGAAGAGAACAAATTCGTTACACCAAGAGACCAAAGAGGAGTGAGGAATAAGAACAGAAATTTAACCCCTAATGCTCAGTATGAAGGTGGTAATGCAATGAACAGCTCTTTTATTGGTTCTAATAAGGAAGAATTGAAATCATTCGACAAGAAGAATAAAAATAGGAGAAGAGACGCATCTATGACTCCAGGACCCGGTGAGGCTCACTTTAACAGGACTTATACAGGAATGAATCACTTACTTATGGATGGAAAGGGGCGATCTCTCAGAAAAGCTTCTGATGATAGTGGCGAAAACCACAAAGCTGAAGATAGTAGGGATAGCCATCGGTCTGACTCTCCTGACCAATTTGATAAAAGATATGCTTCCTTAGACTTATATAAAAATGTGGGATTGATAAATCCAAGAAATGATTGCTTTATGAACGCTTCTTTACAGGTTCTCTTTTCTGTTCCAGAATTCATAAGATTCTTTGCACAGAGGGGGTACAACAAGGAGAGACTCTCGAGGGATAAGTACATGCTTAGCTCCAAGAAGGACACAAAAGGTATGGTCCTTTCAGGCTATAAGTACTGTGATGCAATGGGAAACTTATGTTCTGAAGTATGTTCTGGAGACTTGGATAGGCTACGTGCTGGAAATTTGAGGAACATGTTCCGCAGGATGTTCTCAAAGGATCATCAGCACGATTCCAATGAGTTTATTCTGAGCTTGTTCAGTAATTTACAGGATGAGCAGACACCTAAGAGCTCTAAGTTCATCTCTGATAAATGTAATGATGAGATCGATGCTTGGGATAAATACACAATGAACTATAACTCTATTATTGATAAATTGTTCGTGGGCATGATCAGAAGAAGTATTCGGTGAGGAAGTTGTAAGAAGGTGGTTGATCGATATGAGTGATTTAACCAGATTGAACTAGAATGAAAGCAGGCGACTTTAGAGAAGGCTTATAAGGACTTTTTGTCAGATGAAGTCATGAAAAAGAAACAAAGTTATAAGTGAGATGAGTGAAAGAAGGTAGTTAAATGCAGAATAATGCGAGAAGTAATTAAGATGCCTCAGTATCTTTTCTTTCTTTTCAAACGCTTTAACAGTAACAGATCAAAAATTTCTAAGAAGATAAAGTACCCTCAGAACATTGTTCTGGAAGACAAAATAGATGGAGGACCTCTAGAATATGAACTCCAGGGTGTTGTTATTCATTCTGGAGGACTCAATGGAGGCCATTACATTTCAATTGCTAAGAAGAGCAGCCAATGGATAAAATTTGACGATGCTTCTTTTTACAAAATTAAGAAAAAACAGGTTATTGACAAAGATGCCTATATCCTTCTATACAAAAGAAGTTAATTAAAAGACCCTCTCTCAATAAACTCGAATCACAAAGGGGTTTTGGGGTTTTGGGGTTTTGGGGTTTTGGGG